GGGATCTGAGAGTCAAGCTGGGTTCCTCCCTTCTTATGCTTCATAACCAAATAAATGGTTCACAGGCCCAATGACACCCTTAATAGCAAGGGGGTCATGTTGGGTTTTCCATGGACTTGCAGAATGGCCCTGTCAATGGAGCACCGTGAACAATTCTGTTGATGCCCCCAAAAAACAGACTCCAGCTTCCTCACCCAGAGCCCTGCTTGCTCTGCAAGGCTAAAGGGGGCCCAGACTTGTGGTCACTAAAGCCAGCAGCTCTGGCTCTCACACACACACTAGGCAGATCTGCTGAGCAAGGAAGGGCAATTTCTACAAGAACAGCCCCTTACAACCCAAGCTTGTCCTGTCTCTGTATGAATATTAATGCTCCCATAGTAATAAACTCCATTAAACTTAGCATGGTAGCATTTGCCCCATTGTCTGTACCCCAGTTTTCACCCTCCACCAGCCTGATTTTCAGGTGCTTCTTGCCTGCCACCCTCCAGAGCAGGTGGAAAACTTCTGCCCAGGGGAAAAGTCGAGTTTTCTCCACTCGCTCACCATTCCAAACCTGCTACGGGGATTCTGCTCCAACTCCCCCACATTCTTCCCTCCCGAAAAATGACCCTTTGCACTGAGACCAGATCCGGAACATGTCAGCCCAGAAGAGGAGCTTTGTGGAAGGGTAGGAGCATGTGGAAACGGGAATTGGTTACTTGGTCTTAGCAATCGCTACGAGACCACAGCTCAAATGTAGACGTTATAATATCTAGGATTCATAACCAGGCTAGCCGCTTGGAACTTGGTGGTAATACTCGAACTAGAACTCAAATCCTTTTGTTTGAAAGGCCCAGACCCCTGCCACATAAGCTAAAGGAGAATCTCCATTAGCAGTATGGGGGCTATGATAAAGTTGAGCATTTCTGAGGCCTTCAAATAGAGGATAGTGGTGCACGCAGCCGGTCTAGGAGTGCAGAGTGGCGTGCACACACGCTCCAGCTGGCACTTTACTGTGTTCGGACATGTCAAAGCTGTTAGATCCCTGCTGGGGAGATAAGGAAGGGCCAGGAGAAATGATTTCCCAGCTTCCTACCCCACTTTGTTCTGTTTGTAGGCCTGTGGCGTTGACTACGAGGTGAAAGCTTTCTGTGCAGAGAACCTGGAGGAGAAAATCCACAAGAGGTAAACGGGGCCGATGTTTGTATTGAGGCACTGGGGAGAGAACACAGAGCCAGGGGACGGAACGGTTCAGCCAGCTGTGAACAGGCCTCAGAGATCAGCTCTTGGGGAAGCCGGTGCCGCTGCCCTGACGGAGTCGAGGATGCTGACACCGCAGGCTGCACATGGAGCAGAGCTGTTGCTCAGTCCCGTAACGGCAGCTCCACAGCAGCTGGTCGGTGTTCGCTGGAAATAACAGCGGCTTGCCCTATACACCCCATCCCCACAGCCATCAGTGGCCTTTGTGGGCCTTCCACACGCCTTGTTCTGATCCCTAGCCTGCCGCTCACTTCCTTCCACTCGCTCACGGGGCCAGCGGTTTCCCCCAGCTGGGGCGAAGAGCCAAGTTCCAACCCCAGCCTGGCCTGCCCCTCCGGGAGCTGAGGTCTGGAGCCCAACCGCCCGCATGGGCTCCAGCTGCGCTAGGCTGGTAGCGTTCCCTACGCCAGCCCCTGGTCTGTCACGCTGGGGTGGTTGGTTCCCGTTCGTCCGCAGTGCTCGCGGGTGGGAAGGGACTGGGAACGTTCGCCCTCTCCCCAGAACAGCCGTGGGAGGCTAACTCTATCATCCCCTCGAGCAGCTTGTCGCCCAGCCCAGTGCCCTTTGACTGCAGCTTGTGCAGCTCCCCAGCTCGCAGACAGCACAGAGGGACTCTGGGCGTGTCCTGCTCTGGGGTAGCATCTAGCCCCTCCGAGGTCTCCATGCAGGCGGGGGCAGAGCCCTGTACTAATCCCTCACAGGCCTTGTTCGATCGCCCAGTGGATCGCTAGGCCGGAGATTTCCCCCACTGACAGGGAGCACAGCGTTTGGGGCCCGCCGGGGGTGGGTCGTGGAAGTGCTAGTCGGAGAGCTCCTGTTAGGGGTACGTTGGGGACGGAGCAGATGCGCTGAGGGAGAACAGCAGGTGAGCTTCAGCGCTGGCAACCCACTGAGCGGCACGG